GCTGCGGGGGCCGGGAGCGGCCACTGCACTCCAGTCTGGGGCGACAGAGTGAGACTCCAAGTCAAAAAAAAAAAAAAATTAAGTTTGGTTCCAAATTGCCTCTATATGTAGCATACTATGACTTAATATGTAAACAAACAGAAACTTTGCAATTTGACAGTATAGTTTCACAATAAGTAGCTGAGTCTTGGCCAATCATAGCAGCTAAGCTGTCAGTCAATCATTGGCTGCAAACTGCCAAAACATGCTCATATTAAGCAAATGCTAAGCTGTAACCAGTCAAGTTGTTGTTTTTGTATGCCACTTCCTTTTTCTGTCTATATGAGGGGAGACTCCAAACAACCCGAAATTTACTTATTAAAAAATTGTGTATTTTTTCTTACATGTTTACACTTCAGTCACCGTCAAAGTACTTTCTATGTGGTACAATACACTTATCAAGATGCTTTTTCAAAAAAAAAAAGATGCTTTTTCCACTCCCCAAACAGTTTTTGAACTCGTTGGTTTTGATGGCTTTGAGTACTTCTGCCATTTTTTGGTTTCGCTTCTTTCACATGGGCAAAACGTTTCCCTTTAAGGACTTTTTTAATCCAGGGAAGCAAAAAAAGTCCCTCGGGGGGAGATCAGGTAACTTGGGAGGGTGGGGCACAGGGGTCATGCCACCTTTGGTCGAAAACCGCGGAGCAGTCTGCGCACGGTGGGCGGGTGCGTTGTCGTGGTGGAAGAACCAGTCACCTGTTTGCCACAAGTCTGGACATTTCCTCCACAAATCATGATGCAACTCTCTCAAAACTTCCAGATAAAAGTTTTGGTTGACCATTTGGTCCAGAGGAACAAATTCCGAGTGTATTACGAGGGGTCTGCCCTCCAAAAGATAATTCTGGTTTTGGGGGGCTCCCCTCATACATCTTGTCTGCTCATGTGCTGGATGGAGTTCTCTGAACCTGTACTGGTCCGGGGTGCTGCTTGATTCATGAAGTGCTTCTTTGCTCAAGTAAACTCTACTAAATTAATTTGCCTAAAGTTTTTCTTTTAACTTAGGAACATTAGGTTCTTACACAAACATTTACACAGGATTACAGGCACACAATAGAATAAATAAGTTTGATAAAATTGAAGAACAAAACCACCCCATCGATTGCAAACTTTATTTAGTGTATGTAACAAATTAAGCCCTGTGATGAGCACCGGGACTATGGAT